TAAGAGTCTCATAAAAGCCTAGACGAAACAATAATTACTGCTTAGGTTGCCATAAAAAGTTGATGTAAAGCAATTCCGTAGCTTCAGTGGAGTACCTTGCTCACAGCAAGGTTTTCATTTTGATACAGCAAGTGGATGAGAATTTTTCTCCATCATGCTAAAAAAAAAAAGCATAAAATGCTTAAAGACAGTATATTATCTCAAGTGTCATGTTTTGATTCCTATAATGTGCCATTAGCCTACCTCTTCTGCTTGGCAAGATAAGGAACATTTTCCATTAACCAAAACACAAGGTAAGGCTGGCATTTTCCAATGCTAATTAGTAAATACTGCTATAGAAAGGCTGTCAGCCCTTCCTAACTACAAAGCAAAATGCAATGCAATGCATTCGTCCTTTCCCAAAACAAGCCATCTTAATAAGAAAGCAGTAACAGGCCCAAACAAAAAAAGAGAGTTGCTGATAAAACGTAACTGAGTGCCGTGCAGTTGCAGCAATATAAAAGCAAGTGCTGGCCAGCAAAGACCTGGATGGTCATTTACATACACATGTATGTAAAAGATATATTACATACACATGGATGGTCTTTTACATACACATACTCATAAGTCTGGAGAGGTTGTGGTCTAGGTAAGCTGGGCTCAGTTTGTTTCTGAGATAGCAAAGCTGGCTAGGCATGCTCTCTGGCAGCTGTGACCCGCTGCAGAGTAATTTGGTTTAACAACATCTGCGCAAAGAACTTGAGGTACTACTGTAACTTAGGGATCCCCCCCAAAACCTCTGCCAGGCAAGGCATTAACATCCTCCTGCCTTCCCTCCTCCCTTTAATAGATGGTAAGCCAACTTCACAAAAACACCAGACACACCTCATGAGGCCACCAGACGCTGACTTGTTTCCATCCTGGACAGGCGTCCCACCACAGTCCCAGTGCTACGACCAGCCTGGGAGACCTGGTGCACACCCTGTGCTCCTCCCATGCCATATATTTCTCCCAATGGAGAAACATCCAAATGCATCACCCAGCCCCTCTCCACCTGCCTCCCTTCACTGTTAAAGCACTTTTACTCTGTCCAGTCTCCTTTACACAGTTTACACTAGCGACTGTAAAATTTGGGCGTGTATCTCAATCCCCTGTTATCCAGATTCTCATACAGAAACAGGAGGATTCAGGGGGGTTCTGGAGGTGTCCTGTTTTTTCTTTTAATGGCTCATGTCAGAAGGATTTTTCAGAGTATCCTGCCAGGGCTGGAGGAAGCAAAGGTGGCCAGTCTGCTCTGGTTTACTTCATCTCCAGCCAACCTTCTGGCTTCATTGATGAAAGCCCCTTGTCATGCCAGTGAGTTCTGAATCAGTTCACATAATTCTTGAAAACTAACACTCCCACCCTTCACACTCATAACCCTGGGTCCTTGCAACCCTCACAGCCCTACTTGTGATCCCTGACTGTGACAGCTGTACTGGACACCTCTGGGCAAGCCTTACAGGCTGAACAGCTCAGGAAGCAGTCCACAGCTCTTCCAAACACACCATGACAGAGAAACCGAGAAGAAAACTGAGGGATTCTGTCCTACCAGTAAACACAGTAAAACCACAAGATTGGTATATTGTGAGGAAACCTCAGAGTTTCCTTTTCTTTATCATTTTTCAGCTGACTCCAGTAGCCTCTCCCAGTGCTCCTCTTTCATCTGTGCCTTTATAATTACCAGCCTACAAAACATCACCCTGTCTCAGGCTGCTGAACAAAAGAAGTAAACTTTTAAGCTCCCCAATCTTCCCAGGATGTGATGGATCATTACTCCTGCTCAGAGATTGCCTGGTCTTAAATCACTGCCCATGACTCCCACTGCAGCCGGCCTGGGACCTCTCCAAGGTCAGGTCTAGTTTCCAGACTTTTGAGATCTTTGTGTCAGGCAGACAGAGCCTCGCTGCTTTGAATTGCCACATTTTAAAGGGCATTTAGATTCATGCTAAACATACTGCAGCATAACTTAACCACCTGTAAACATTAAATGCTGCCTGCTAATTGACAGGTACAATATTTACTGAGGGTTACATACCAGCAAACAGCCTGGCAGATTTGTTTATACATAGCGATAGCAATGCCAAGTGCACAGGAGAGACAGACCAAGATCCGGGAGATGAAAGCAAGCCTGAAGAAGCGGACTGACACATGCACACGAACCAGTAACACAGGAATCTCCTGGCAGGTTCGCTTGATAAACAGTATTTGTCTCGTCTCGTTTCATGACTTAGCATTGCTGTTATTAGCAGCACATATCAAGAAAACAGGAGAACAACCCCACATTTGTGGGACAGGCGGTAACCCTGAAAGCAAACAACACGGAAGACACATGGATGCCTCAAAAGCACTCCCAGCACAACATCCCAGGGGCATCGGCCATGAGTTGGGCCCTGGTCAGCAGCAGCTGAAGACACACAAACTTGACCCAACCTCTTCTCCCCTGTTTTTACCACAACAACTTTAAACTAACTTTCTACAGGAAGAAAAAGGGATATTCCTGGACTCCATATTCCAATTTCAGTAATACTCCAATCTGTGTCCTGGGGCAGGGGAGAGGGAAGGAGAAGTGGGGAGGACCAGGGCAGTGCGGGGGACCAGTGAGGTCCTCTTGCAGCTGTGCCGGTCACCGAGTGGCTTCTCAAAGCCGTTCCCCCCACCCACAGCCAACCTCCAGTCCACTGCAGGCTGGCTCTCGTCCTCTTAAAGCAAATACAGTGCTCTCCAAACACATAGGGCTGACAGCCCTGGATATTCAATTAGTCAACTCGTGGAGGAGACAGCGAGCGCAGGGCAGGCAGCAGGGATGGAGCCGCTTTCCCCACGGACAGGCTGCCCTGCCAATGCACCCCGTCCCTGCTAGGGAGGAGATAACTCATCCCACAGCTACAACAGGTTTGGCTCACGCTTTGAAGCCTGGAAGGAAGCTGCAACTTCTGACATGACATCCTGGATGCTGTTTTCAAATGGCTCCTGACACAACTGAATCTCACATGCCTGAGTGCTGGGTCACGCTTTGAAAATGGAGCTGGAAGTGTGATTTGAGGGTCCCAAGTGTCTTTATTCCTTGTCTTTTTTTTTTTTTTTTTTAAATGTGACTCAAGCAATTTTGAAAGTTTTATTTACTGTCACTACTCAATACTTATTAAGAAACTGAATTAAGCCACTCACTAATCTGATAGCAGCTACCCCACAGATGCTAAAGTGATGGGCTTCTGTAGGGCCCCCTTGTCCTTAAAAAGCAAAGGATGAGCAAGGCATGCTATTCAAGCTCCAGCTATTCACATTTCTCCTCATTCAGATGTCAGAAAAATTTAATTAATACTGACATATAGAGAGGTCATATTTCTAAGCAAAATATTAGGGGGGGGGGGGGGGGGGGGGGGAGAGAATTAAAAAAGATAGAAGCAATTTTACCCAACTGTGCCTCCCAACAGGCTCCATGACAAATGCATCACAACTGAACAGATTATAGCTCTTGAATTTCCAGTGACTCAAGTACACTTTACAAAGCCACCTTGTATGTGCTTTGCCTTAAAGATGTATTTATTGCTCACATTGACACATGTATGTTCTGAATTTAATATTTACTTCTCAAACCAAAATGACTCAAAACATCAAGGTAACACTAACATGAGATGGCTCTGGATCAAGAGTTTCTTTTTAGATAGATATATATATATATATATAAAAATGTATTTTGGCTTTCTACTTCCTCACAACAAACTCTGATCATCTTCATTTATAATGTGCTTAATGAGACATCTTCACAACAGATTCAAGAAGTTTATATGGACCAGAGCTTTAAAATACTGAAGAATTTATTTATTTATTTATAATCTTTTAATGCTTTCTTTCACAAAGATGACAATTATGAAGCTTGCAAGAACAGTACACAAACATCCTCCCCATTCTGTTGCACCATAAAATCCAACATGTCTCACTGATGGAAAGAGCAAGTTTTCTCAATAATGCTTCTTTAAGACCAGCATTTTTTTAAATTTAGCCCCTCCAATGTACTTTAAGTTAAATTTAAGTTCCCAGACACCATCACCACCACCCCGCAGTAGTATTGGGGAGCACTAATTCCAAGGACATGTTTAAACCCATGCTTTTCCTTAACAGAATTTAGTGATGAGACGTCCACTCACACTGCTCTGTTAGCAGCTTTGAAGTCTTAAAACCAAAACCAGCTGCTGCAGCAAGCCCCAAGCCCAACAAAGCAGCTTTCATCTGTTTATACTATCAGTGTCTCTGGAAAGATTGGCAGGCAGCTCTTCTGGTGATAGATGCATACTGAAACCTGATCAAGGCTCAGGTTATTTTTCTCCATCCAGCAATGTTGCAATTCTAGCCAGGCAACAAACCCCAAGATCTCCATTAGGATGAAGAGAGAAGCAGTGAAAGCCTCAATCCCACTGTCGTCCCAAACATTAACAGATTGTCCATCTCATCAACTCTGAGCAAAATTCACAATAACTTCCATGTGGTCCCCACAGAGTGGTCAAACAAATTCTGTAACACAAAATAAATGCACTGTGGTCTCGTGCATCAAAAAGGGAAGCTTCAATTCCAATGTTAACAGGAGCTTTAACATGCTGTCAAGCTCAGACAGAGCTAAAGATGAAGCCCCAAAGGGCAAAACAACCATCTTCCACTGACATCTCCTGCCCTGGTGTCATAAGGTCATCCATTGTCTCAACAAAAGAAATCATGAGGCCAGCCCCGACAGGTCAGAGATATAAGGACCATCCTCTCCATCACAGATGGAGCACGACAGATGTTTCTCACAATTATTAAACTCTAATCCTCTTGCCCCACTGTTTTGGACCCCATCCCATGGCTTGGTGCCCCAACAGCCTGGGTTGTCATCTGGAGGTTCACCTGAGGACAGAGCACTGAAACCAAGGAAACCACCTGAGAAATTCCCTTAATTAGCTGGCACACCTGCTGCTTTCTTCTCTAGAAAAACCCAAACATACCTGGGCAGACTGGTCACCAATGTCTGGCACACCACCATCTGACAGTTGGCACCGGTACTGTCCCCCGCTGCCCTGGAGCTGCTCTTCCCCGTTGCTTTCTGGTTCGGAAGTCTCTGGCTGAGCAACCTCCACCTCCATCGGGGTGCAGTGCCCGTTCCCGTGCTCTGAGCCTGGCTTTTCTTTGCTGTCCTTGCTGCCCGGCGTTCTGGTGATGACCCCAAACTTCCTGGTCCTTTTCCCATTTTGAGCAGCTCTGTCACCAGGTTCAGGGCTGGGCTTGGCTTTGGGGTCGCAGCTGTTGCTGTTGTTGCCGTTGGAGGGAGGAAGAGGGGCTTTGCGCTTGATGCGGCGCAACATGATCAGGTAGACGAAGCCGCCATTCCAGCACTGCTCGGCCAGGTAACTGCAAGGAAAGGGATGTGTGAGGATTACCAACTACTTGCCCTGCGGTGCCCACACCCTGCCCCAGCACCCCAAAAGGCTGCGCCACGTGATGTTCATGCACCTCCTCAGACAGCAGATTACCCAGTGTGTGGATACATCAGGACAGCTCGAGGTACTGGCAAGTGCTCTCTTCCTTCAGTATTACAGGGAAAAAATACCAGGAATAATATTGGGAATGATAACAGCCCTACCAGTGATCCAGGCTGGTCCTAGCACAGTGTAATACAACAACTGGTAAATGCCACCAAACGGGTTCCCACCACCCTGTAGCTGAGCTGTAGCACAGCAACATAGAAAGGTGGAGCAAGCAAAGCAAAGCATAGAGCGGGACATTAAAATAAATAAGTATTTTAAAAAATTAAAAATCAGGCAGGCTTCATTTGTGCAGCAGCTCATAGAGCATTTGCATCTGAAATGAGACTCCTTAGTGAAACTAATCTTCTGCTTCTGTGTAAGTACATGCTTTGAAGGCCTCAGGGAAAAAAAAAGAAAATCAGCCACCAGGATAAGCAGGCATAGCGCCAAAGGCCTCAGTACAGCAAAGCGTGGCATCCCAGCTCCCATAAAGAGACGTGGAAATAAGGTGGGTTTCCTTTACAGCAAGTGTATTCCAATCACAGCAAGAGCCAAGTCATTTCAGATGCACCAGGAGCAGTCCCAAGTTCTCGTACCACAGCAAAGCACCTCCTTCCCTCCTAAAGACTCTGCACATGCCTTGAAGGAATTGACATTTCTGCTTCAAGCAAATACTCTGTGACCTTACAGAAACTGCACCCACTGATGCAAAAGGGGAATCTAACTTCATGCCTCTTTTGGGAAAGGATATACCTCAACCCAAATTCTTGAAATATCTGGGTTCTGAGCCAAGGGTGTAACCACTGAGAGTACAAACAAGCTGGAATTTGTACTTAGCAGGTTTGTATCTGACCTTTCACGCTAATTTAGGCCCCAAAATATATTGCCTTTCTCACTAGTGAAAGCAGCAGGAATTTCCCAGTGCATCAAATAAGCCTCTGCTGCATCTGCAATAAACACTAACAAGGAACAGTTGCTGAACCTACTGCTATCAGAGGAGATGAGAAACCAGGTGTGGAATTGAGCCATAGAAGATCCTAAGAGAAACAACTCGATATTTGTGGTTGAGAGAGGAGGAGCAACCTAGGAGTCTTCCACCCATTTTTTTTTCCTCCCTGGTGCTTGTAAGCTAATTTTCCCCTTTCTTTTCTTAAAAGTTGTTCAGCCTTAAACATAACCCTTCAAGCTTATTCCTGCACAGAGGTGACTTAATGACAAAACAGGAAAAGCTGCTATGATAACCCTTGAAGCAAACTTCTGTACAGAGAGGAAAGCACTCTCAATTACTCAAAGTAATGTGGACCAGCCTGGCAGCGGCTGGAAGTAACACGATGGGTGTGTGTTCTGTTCGGGGACATGAGCTGACAGTACATTTCTTCCCAAAGCTTAGATGTCCTCTGTGGACAACGTTGGCATCTGAATCACTTATATTTGATTAGGAAGACTGATGCCCAAATGAATACAGCAACTATATAACCTTAAAAGAAGCCCTGGAGCAACGGAGATTAAGGACAAGTATGCTGGCTGTGCCAATTTCTCCAGTGAATATAAACCTTACTCCAACACCCTCAACAGTCCACTCAGCAGTTTTCACTAAGTAGGTACATGAAAAATATTTAAATAAAGCCCTAAAACCATCTTTTTCAAGACGGCTGAAAACAGACAACCAACAAGCCCGTCTGGCTGAAAAGTCTCTGCAGCTAAGGTCACCTGTCTGGGTGGCCATGAAGTGACACTTGGCTTAGGGAGGTACCCAGGTCTGGCAGGACCTGAAGGGTTAGCCTAAAAAAAATATTCCAGAACTAAGATGGAAGTATTTTTGATTATCAAGTTAAAAGAAAAATTCTTTTAATCAACAGAAAAGGGGCAGTTTTGTTCCAGAAACAATATGGGCTGCCTGTTTTTCACATTTATCTTTCAACTCAAATTTCAAGGCAGCCAGTAAAGTTGATTAAAATTCATGACTTCTGCTTGCAGCAATACCACTGCACTCTGATCCATCATACATAAGCCTGATAGCAATGCTTCTCCTGGCATATGGAAGCAGAAAAGCAGCTCCTCTTCCCATAGTGGCTTACACGGGTGCTGCCCACCCTGTTTTTATGCAGAGTCAGTTCTGCTTGACGTGGTTTTGTGCAGGTGCACGTATGTGGAATTTTTTTAAAACACCGATCTCTATCTCTGAACTAATCACTGATTTATTTTTGAGTGCCAGTAACCAAGTGCATGCATTAATCAACTACTTCATTTAGAAACTAAGGAGAATGAGAGGGAACTTAGCATATGTCCAAATAAAGTCATTTTATACAGGCAAAAATAATTTACTATCTCACCTCCACTTGTAGCACATTTATTCTGCTCGTAAAGTGTAAAAGGGAAGAAAGAAGGGAGGGTTTTTTTCTATCCACTGTTCACAGACAACCATCCCTACAGTCTGGAGCAGGGTTACAGTGTGTGGTAATAGATGCAGCTGCACTGAAGTTAGCAGAGCCGTGCTGATTTACTCCATATGTCGAGATGGCCTACATGTTCCAGGCGTGCAGCCTGTAGTAACTCATGGGTTTATGTCTTCCTGAGTACTCCTCAGCAGTTCAAAGCACACAATAAGTTTCCAGGAAAAAAAAAAAAATTAAAAATTCTTGTCCAGGTCAGTAAGCAATCACCTTTGCATGGCAGCAAGTGATTGCATACACCAGATGATGCCAGGTATTTCTGGACAGCTGCTACCAGTGATGCAATAAGTGTCATCATTAACTCAGAGTTTGTTTCAAACCAAAGACCAGGCATCCTGTGCTGGAAAACCAGCACTGGTGTAACACCAAAGTCATACGACAAGATAGCAAACTAATATATCAAGAATTCGTGGTCATTTGATCTACTGCACTCCCAAGACAGGGCTGTTAACCAAGGAACATAAGCCACCATTAAGTTCTGCTAAGTACATGCTGCCTAATTAGCTGGCTTCCTTTTCCTTTGTCATTTCTTCCAGTTTAAGTAAGAAGCCAAAAAACCCCACAGACGCATGGCAAGCTTTCAACACTGGACAAGACAGGAAAGGTTGTATTACACGAGTGAGAGCCTTCAGATTTTTAATTACTATCAGTTCAGGAGCATCCCATGCCAGAGGGGAGTAACGGGATGGATTCAGTAAAATGTAATTATACAGCCTCTAGACTGCAGAAAATGGCAAAAGTTAGACAGGACCCAAAATCACACTTCTCAGGGGTTTTAATATGCACAACACAGACAAGCCTTTTTTTAGATTTAGTCCCTGTAGAGCATTCAGAGATTTTAGCAACCAATACACCAACCATGCCTCAGGCAGGGCAGGATCAGAGCTGGTGACCATAACGCAGCTCTCGGCACAGATGTGGGTGGGGAAGCAGCTGCAACCTCCAAGTTGTTGCTTAGTTTGAACATGGTCTTCAGCCTGAATGGAGAAGATGCATGGAGCAAAAATATCCCTAATGCAGCTTTGATTGGTTCAAAGTTATTGAAAACTGAGACTCTCGAACTTACTATTCCCCATTTTGGCTTGCAGGGGATAAAGTAGGTGAAAGCCCTGGATCTCATATACAGCTAAAAAGCCTTGGGCAGCTACTTCTTGGGCAGCCAGTGAATGATGACACATAACAAATCCTATTATCATGATTTTAAGAATGCAAGAGATTTTATCAGCTGATCATACATCTATTAGTATTGGTTACCGTAACAAAATTTTCCCAGCAAAACATCCATCCACACTTTCTGTATCTGTCAGTCTTTGCAAGGCAGTGTCGTCTCCTTGGCACAGCTGGGAGTCACCTCAGACACTGTGGCATCATTTCGCCCAAGCAGGGTCTAAAACCTCACTGCAACATTGGCTTGGAAACACTTCCACTGGTGCGCTCAGAAGAAGGGCCACCCGGCTGCTCCTGCTGCTTTGATCTTACCCTGGCACCAGCACTGGTAAAACCCCAACCTCTATAAAACACCACTCTTAAGCAGTCAGGCAGGCTTTTTCTCTGTAGGAGAGAAACCATGAAGATGTTAATAATCTTTAAAACCAGAGGAAAATTATTTTACACTTGAAACAGAGCTGGAAAGTTACCTCTTGCAAAGCTCGACCACAGGTTGGAAAATGCAACTGGTGGCTGGTATCAAGGGGCATTTAATGCTCTTTTTGTATCAGAATTATGAAGAGATGGAAATGTCCACTTCCTTCAGAGACTGTTTTGAGTCAGCTGAACTGATTCCTGTCATCATAAGAACTGATAAACTTGCTGAGTTTATTCCAAGTTCCTTGGCACACGCGTTAAGTGTCAGGCTCAGAAATGGTGTCTTAGAGTAAGCCAGTCATTTTATCATTTTTACATGTATATATGTATTGTGCGTGTGCATGTATAAATATAAAGGTTTACAGGCTTGACAAGAGCATGCTGCCACAAGCTCTCTGTCATATCCCATCTCACTTGAACAAATGCAGATGGCCACACTGAGCTACAGAAAAACTGAAGCAGATCCAGCAGCCATAAGAAAGCATCTGGATCCACTTTAGGATCAGAAATATTGAAGAAGTATGTTTATTTTACACTAATAATACTACTTAGCATTTCTCCAGAACCTTTCATCCTGATAGATCAGAAAGCGCTTTGGAAATGATACACAGAGCATCACTGACATCTTGCCAGTCAGTCCATCGTGCAACTCACCAGGGCATGAAGGAGAAACCTCAGCCAAGAAAACAGTTTTCAGAGGCCCTGTCTAGCCCCTCCCAGGACCTGTAATGGCCTTAGCAGGACAGACAAACCACCAATTTTTATGCTCTTCTCTGAAAGACTCTGGCATGGTAAAAAGTCTTGAAACTCAATCTTCTTTAGGTGGGAAAGATGAGGGGCAGTGCAG